AATCGAGGAAAACGGCTTACAGTCCCTATCCTAACTTTTTAAGGTCTATTCAGTGACATAAAATACATATTATTTGATACAGGGTGATCAAAAATCCAAAATCACATCCGATTTTTGATCACCCTGTATCAACTAATATTTTTTGCCACTGAATAGACCTTCAAAAGTAAGGATAGGGACATGTAAGCCGTGTTCCTCGATTTCCAACTTTTTGGCTACAACAGCCAAAATTGAAAATTAACCTAAACTGCACGAATATCTTTGGATGATGTTTTCTCGGAAACGGCTGCTCCAATCGAGATCAAACAAGTATTCCTTTTTGACGTAGTTTTCAATGTAGAATGTAAAAAAAAATATGGATAAGTCATTACCAAAAACACAAAAAAGTTATGAATAATCAAAATTTTCAAAAAATTCCCAAGTACACCCCTGACGAAATAATTTCTTTTTGAAGGTGTCAAAAGGTCACTATTATTGATCATATTTAACAGCCAAAATTTGGTTCTTTTATTTGTTTCCATTTTTAAGAAAATTCAAAAAATCAAAATAAAAAAAATGATTTCGAGAGGCTGTTGCTCGCTTAGGGGGCACTTTAGGACATAGGTCTATAGGAACTTTTTTTCCATTTTTTGGTTAAGGAATCTGCCTGAGAATTTTGGGACACATTTTAAAGGACACCCTGTATATTGGAATCTCAAAAACGGATCATACTAAAATTATGATTTTATACGAAGGTATTAATTGCTTACATCTTATTACAAAAATAAATAGATCGTACATTTTGACGGATCGAATTGAAAAATATAGGGTGATTCTGAAAAATGAATATTTCTTTAATTGTTGCTGCATCAAAAAAGAATTAGACGTGTGTATCACCCTGTATTTCATAGAAAGTATTGTTATCTAGGTATTTATTTATTATCCCATAATCAATATTATTAACAAATATATAGGGTGTAATTTTTTTAAGAAACGCCTTTCTGTGGCATGAATTAACAGTCTACAGTATACATATAATGAAAAATGGGTTTATATAATGTCAGAACAGTAAACATTATGTAAGTTTTTATTTTTGACCATGTTTTCATTCCATATGAGAATCTTTCAGAATTTCAAAAATTCCCCCTGACGTAACTGAGTACCACCCTGTATATGTTTACATTTTGAATTATTTATGTGTACGTGTGCGTTAGACCAGGACATATTAATGCTACAATCAACAAAAATATTTATTTTTTTCTTTTCAATTAAGTTACATATTTTCAAGAAATACGATTTCTCGACTTTAACACCCTGTATTTTAAAAACTAGTCATAGGATTGAATTGGTCCTATGAACACTTTTGGTCAACAAGTCGAGTACAACATCATATTCAAAATTTATTACATTTGACGGAACGCCACTTTGCCATTAGAAAAGGGCGGGGTCCTTTAAGTAATTTAAACAAAATAGATGTTCTTCTTCAACCTTGTTTCCTAATATATAACGGAAATAAAATTATAAAAAGGCCGAACATATAGTGGTTAGGACTCATATTCCGCAGGTGATTTTTAATTCTTTTCAAAGTCGAAAATGTCTACTGAAGTCGAAGTAACAGGGTGGTGACAGTTAAACATTATAAATTATAAAACTGAGGCAAAACTTGTTGTAGACTATTGTCGCATAGATATTCAATCATAGCCTAAAATATCTTTATCAGAATATTATAACACACAATTCATTTTTAATGCCAATTTATCAAATAAAAAAAAATGTATTTTAAAACAAGATTCTCCAGAAGATCATAATCAAAAAATTGTAATTCTTCTAAATCTGAAAACCTTGTTTCAATTTGACCCCTAATAGTATCTAAAATTTCATGGTTAGAAAAATGTTGAAACAATGTATTAAAATAACGTTCATCATTACGAAATTTTAACTGATTTCTGATATAAACTATGTTGGTTAATTTGTGTTGCAAAATATGGAAAACAGTATCTGTTTGTTAAAATATGAATTTGAATATATCGGGAAAGAACAAAAATTCTGCATTAACTAAATAACTTATTTCTTACCTCAGTCAAGACACAGATTGTTTAGGAGTACATTGAACACGATGACGAAAGCGGATATACAAAATTTTCTTATGGACAATGATTTGTATTTTCAAGACAGCTATAAGAATTTCTTAAAGTTTTAAAAAGGTATGCCTAATAGATGGTATTGGACACACTGTATTGAGACTTCCCCATCATTTTTGTATTTTTAATGGGATATAAACGAAAAAGTTATTCTATTGCTTCACCAGTGGCGTTTATCCTATCGTTCATTAATTAAATTAAAATTTCTTCATTTTGCAGTATTGACGATTAATTTTAATTATTTTAATCTAGAACCGAGCGGCTGGCGAGAAAAATACAAGTTTCCTGCCGTATTGATGTAGAATTGACCAGTCAAATGAGTAAAAATTTCAACATGGAAAAATGTCAGTGGCGTACTACTTTTTTTTGTAGAAAATATCAGATGACATGTTTGCAAAGACGCCACTGGTAGAGCAATAAAATAAATTTTCTAACTAAAATATGTGGTTTTATATCCTATTAACACATGCCAAAATTGAAAAGTATATCTAAACTATTTTCAGAGATATTAAAAAATATCTCTTTAAAAAACAAATTTTCAACTCCCTGTAGCAAAAAATTGAAGAGGATTCACACCCTACAATATTAGCATACCATTAAAACACACCCTGTATAAATTGTAAACAACATAGCAGCCATTTTGAATTTTTTAAAAGTAGTAATTGATCAGATAACAATTTTAGTCGAAATCTCCTGACTTAAAAATAAATGTTTTTTTAATTGCTCACCCTGTATATATCTGACCGGAAGTATAACCGGTTTTGAGCCAAGAGGAAGCCTAACCTGCATACAAAATTTAGAATTTTTCTCTTAAGCCGTTTTTGAGCTATCGCGCGAACAGACAGCCGGCGGACGGCAGACAGACCGACGGAATAGGGAAAAAAATGTTTTTTTCTACGAACTCTTACAAAAAGACATCTTTCGCCACAGGATACTTTCAGCGAAAACTTGATTTCCGTCACTAGTGAGAAAAAATCCCATAACGTTTACTTTCGTCTCTAGTGACGAAAGTAAGTTGTTACATATTTTCATATATCAGTCGCCTCGTATAATATTTTGGCAGCTTATAATTAATTATTAATAATGAAATAAAAAGATGCTCATTAAATTCTATATGCGTTTTTACCTAAACTTTAATGAATTAAAGATAAAATAAAAATAGTGCAAATTAAACCAATCTACATCTAGTTTCCTGGTTTTCATTTGTTTATTTGAAGTTTTATCACTTTTGAGAACTGGAGTGCGTTTAGAAACCGCGCACGGCGCGTCCGGACCCTATTCTAATGCATGTGGTCAGACGCGCCGTGCGAGGTTTCTAAACGCACTCCTGTCAGTTTCAGTTCGTCCTAAATTTAACACATTTTCATGATGTCTGAGTCAGAAAGCGATTGTACTCCCCCAGAAATTATTTTTAAAGCTGAAGAAACCTCTTCAGATTTATTACCAGCCAAATCAAAAAAGAGATATGAAGAAATTTATATCAAATTTTTGGACTGGAGAGAAATAAATAAAGTGAAATCATTTTCGGAAACTGTACTACTAGCATACTTTGGAGAAATATTTCAAATTTTAAACCGTCGACGTTATGGTTCATTTATTCGATGCTAAGAACTAAGAACTCTCTGTTAAAAATGATGTCGATATTAGTAAATATCCAAAGTTACGTTCGCTTTTGAAAAGAAAATCTGATGGTTTTAAAAGCCAAAAATCCAAAAATTTTTCGCCTGAAGACATAAAGACTTTCCTAAAGAATGCACCTGACTATAAATATTTAATAACAAAGGTAACGGAATTATTATTTTTATTTTAACAAATACTTAATACATAACTACTAATATTTGTAGGTAGCATTAGTTTTTGGATTATCTGGCGCTTGTCGTTGCCACGAACTAAAAGATTTAACAATAAGCGATGTAAAGGATACTGGAAGTATTCTGTTAGTTAAAATCCGTAATACAAAAACAAAAGTTCCGCGTTCTTTTCATTTTTCTGGACCCTTTTATGATATTTCTAAAAAATATATGAGCCTACGTCCCGCAAACATGGATCAAATTAATTCAAGATTCTTTATTAACTATCAGAATGGAAAGTGTAGCAGGCAGGTTGTTGGAATTAATAAAATCAGTAAATTTCCTAACGAAATTGCTCAGAACATCCGCAACGCTGTTAGTGGATGCAGGAGGTGACTTGCTTCTGTTAAAAAAGCACGGTGGTTGGAAATCTAGTAGTGTTGCGGAAGGATATGTTGATGAATCCACGAACAGTAAAAACCAAATACAAACCAAAATTTTACAATCTGTACAAAATAAGGAAACTACTAGTTCATCCGATTATGGCGCATCATCATCTGAAATGACATTTAACAGTAGAACAAATATGTCGGCATCTACCTCAATAAATAAAAAGCTTGAGTGTGATACCCCCATAATTTTGAACAATTGTTCAAATATAACAAATCAATATTTAAATAATAAATAATATTTCTGAAATATTTAATTGTTGGTTAATTTTTTGTTATTCCTAACACAAAATAAAGCATTTGCTAACGTTTGTTTTTTTTTTTTTTTTTTTTTTTTTTTCATTTTAGTAGGTACCTACATGACATAATAGAGTTCGTAGAAAAAGTATAGTGTTTTACTCGTCGAAAATCATTTTTTAATGTTATTTTCGTCACTCGTGAAACAATATACTATTTCGTAATCTAGGTACCTGAAAAGTAAAAATAAAATAAGTATACTCATTCTCTTGAATGCTCCTCTACTATATTTAATGTATGTGTGTTGGTACTCTTAGATATCTAAGCTAGTACTATACAATCACGATCATAGTATCTTCGCGTCCGTTAGCTCTTAGACTATTATTAAATATTAGGTTTTGAAGGTACCGAGAGAGCGAATCAAACCGAGTGACCGCCGAACAATTAAAACGTGAAGTAGATATTCAAGCAGCTCAAGTAGAAGAACAAGCTTCAAATGTCGAAGGAGATTTAAAAGTTGAAAGGGAATGGAGAGTTTCTTTACAAAACGCGATGCAGCAAGACAGAGAAAGGATATCTAAACTGCAAGTTGAAAATGGACAGCTCAAGTTAATTGCACAGGTTTGTTAAATATACATTTTTTTGTTGTTGGTTAGTCATCCTAGTGGTAGGGTAGTTAAAGAGAGCATAAAAGATATCTGAAAATTAATTGTTTTGACTTGTGGTACGTGGTTTTTGTATTTATAAAGTGTGTAATTTGCGTTTATCATTGTGGTCGTAGAAAAAGTATAGTGTGCTACTTGTGCAAAAAAAACTTATCTACGCTCGTGCGGGATTGGATACTTTCTACACTTGTTGCAAAATATACTATTTGTTAGTTTTTACCTCTTTAATATGAAAAATATAATAAATTATGAATCATTTTTATAAATAAATAAAAAATACTTATTTGTTATATTGAATTAGATATAGATAGATACAATTCCTAATTGAATTTTCAATATTTTAGAAATATGCTCAGCTTCAGGAAGAATACTATACCTTAAAAGATCAATGGCTCGAACAAGAACATACACTCGAAGAATTAGGTGGACAATTAAGAGAATCGAAACTCCAAATATCCGATTTGAGGGAGGAAGTGAATAAATCGCGTCCGGAAGGAGCTTGGGCCAAAGATAATAGTACAACCAACTGCAATGCATGTAATAAAGAATTTAATCTAACTAGGCGGAAAGTAAGTTAATTTAATTTTGATTATCAAATATTTTATTTTGTTGATGCAGTTGCGTTTTTTTGCGATCTAATTAGAACATTTAACTATGTTAACCATAAAAATATCCATTCTGGAACATTCAACATACGCTAATGACCCGATGCGGTGAAATTTCGTGCGCCTGCTGTATCCCAGTGACTATTCCACCACCTCTTCAATATTCCCAACTGTATGTGACTTTGAAGTTACTGTCATTGTTTTAAGATATTATAAGTTTCCCTTAAAGTTGATCTTTTCGCCTTCAGATAATTAAATGTTCGTCTTTTCGAGAGAAATAATCTGTAGTTATGCGGTACTTTTTAACCTTCATATTAATGTATGAGTGCAATATATGTCACTATCACTTGTCGCTATTTCGTTATTATCCCTAGTTTTTTTAAGTTATATTTTAAAATTTTGAACTTTTGTTAAGTCATGAGAGATCGATATATTTGCTCCTTTTAAAAAAAACGATTTTTCTTAAGTTCTAAATAAATTCTACCTTAATTGGAACATTCAGAAACTTTCCTAAGGATTTAATGTGGTCTGCATTTACTTGAATATTTACCAAAGTAGTTAATTTTTCGCAAACCTTTTCACCTGTTACATTTTATAAATGTTTTATCCTAAATATTATTCTTGTTTAAATCGTTCTAAAAGTTCCACTTTATTTCCTAATTCTGTATTTTCTCGTTTAAGAATTCATATTTTAAGATTAACTTCCGAAGCTTCTATAGCATTACTTAGATCCTTTCTTGTATTAACAATACCATCAAATGTTTGCAGTAAGTTCACTTTTAGACATATGTTTTGTGTATGGACTCCTTTAATTACTTTTTTATTACATTGTGGTGAAGTGTATAAGTTTTTGAGTTTTCATAAAAATATAATTTATATAAATAAATGATTCCAAAGTTTACTCAGTGTGTTAATGGCGTTATTTAGCTAAAAGGCTAAATTGGTGACCCCGACGTGATTGAACCGACAATTGAGGCGAGCATGAAAATACACTTGCAACATTTGAATAGAGACAAGGTGCGAGATGTACTTTTGCATTTTGGAATGGACGTTAGTGGTTCCCTAGCTGATTTAAAAGTGAAGTTGGAAGCATCTATTAAAACCCGTTTTCCGGAAATAACAAACCCGGCAGATTTTGATTTTTCCGAAACGCTAGAAACAATTTAAATAAATTCGGTAGTGGAAGAATCAAATAAATCAGAAACAGGAGCGATCATTAAAAAAATATCCGATTTAGAAAGTGTATGTCTACGTCTGATTACTAAAATTGACGAAAACACGAAACGACTTGAGACATGTGAAAAAACTATACTCGAAATTTCTAAGAAAATTTCTGTAATAACACAAAATGTCGCCTAATATTTCTGATACCTTCGAAAAAAAAAAAAAAAAATAAAAGAGCGTCAGTTGATTTACCTACATTTTGGAAGAGAGAACCAGAATTATGGTTTAAACCCGCAGAGTCCATTTTCCAGATAAGCAATATCACTTCTAACAATATAAAATTTACTAAAGTTTTATCGGTTTTGGAGTGTGGAATTATAAAAGAAAAATAATTTATTTAGTATACAGTGTGATCCTTATTCGTTTATTCGTACAACATATTAAAAATACAGCAAAGAATGTTATTAGATGAAGACAAAATAACTAAACTTTTTTCTCAGTGTGAATTAGGAGATAAAAATCTAGTAAATTATACAGAGAGATGTTTGAATTGGCATCTGGAAAAATGTCTAAAAAACTTATAATTATATCTTGGCTTAACAAATTACCTACAACAGTTGAGCAAGTTATTCGAAGGTTTTAAAGATACATTGACTGAGGAAGAACTAATTAATATGGCTGATGGCATGATCGAAGCCTCAGTCAATGTTGCTTGTGCTGAGCAGGAAAGAAAAGATGTTATTGTTGTGAAAACACAATCAGCTATAGAAAGTAAACTAGATCAGTTAATTGACAAATTGAATGAATCTTTGAATTCAAGAAGTAGATCAAGATCGGGGAGTAGATAAAATATTTAAATAACGAGCTAAAAAATGTACAAAGCCCTGTAAATATGAAGATAATTTGGAAAACCATTAAGGTCCATTTGCACCACTGGTCGTTAAGAAATAAGCTAAGTTTAAAATGACATTTTTCCATTAACAATGTCATTTTAAGCTTCGCTTATTTCTTAACTACTAGCGGTGCAAATGGCCCTAAGCCTCTCGTTAATGGCGACTAACGAATCTGGCAAAAGAAATTGTCGCCTTTTTATTAAAGACAATAATACCAATATTCAATTTTTAATTGACACTGTTGCTGATGTTTCAATACTACCAAAAATATTAAATAAAAAACTAATGCCAACTTCTAAACCACTATACGCCGCAAATGTATCGAAAATTACCACGTATGGAGAAAAGTTTTTAACTGTTAGTTTGGGATTAAGACGAAATTTTGGACGGCAATTTATTATTGCTGACATAGATCAAGCAATCATAGGTGCCGATTTTATGATGAATTATCCAATATCTGTTGATCTACAAAACAAAAAATTAGGAGATACAGAAATCAACATCGAAGTACACATTTCAAACACTCCTATAATTAAAACCATCAGTAAGTCTTCTTCATACTATGAGTTACTGGCAGTTTCCAGATTTGACCCGTACATTCTTAAAAGTTCGAAGAAACTTATCAAATATAACTCATCAAATCATAACTGAAGGACATCCTGTTTACTCTAAAGTACAGAGGCTAAACCCTGAAAAACTGAAAGCAGCTAAAGAAGAGTTTGAATTCTTACTAGAAAATGGGATCATAGGGCCGTCCAAAAGTCCATGGGCAAGTCCATTACACATGGTCTGTAAGTCAAATGGGAGCTGGAGACCTTGTGGAGATTATAGATTATTAAATTCCAAAACTGTTCCGGATCGATACCCATTACCTAATGTAAAGGATTTCACGCACTATCTTGCTGGAAGTAAAATATTTTCAAAAATTGATTTGGTTACAGCCGCCTTCCACCAAATTCCTGTAGATCCACAAGATATAGAGAAAACAGCTGTTATCACTCTTTTGGCTTATATGAATATTTAAAAATGCATTTCTGCTTGAAAAATGCAGCTCAAACATGCCAAAGATTTGTGAACCAAATTACACATGATTTTGAATTCTGCTTTCCTTGTATTGATGATTTTTTAATTTTTTCACAAAATAAAACAACATCAACAGCACTTAAAGAAATTATTTTCTAGATTGCAAGAATATGGGATTGTCATTAATCCAGAGAAAAGTGAATTTGGTAAAAAATAAATATTATTCCTTGGCTATATGGTCTCTCGTGAAGGTGTTAAACCGTCAGCCCAAAAAGTTGAAGCTATATTAAATTACGATATGCCAACGGACCTAAAATCTTTGAGGCGTTTTCTCGGAATGGTACATTTTTATAGATTAGAAATCCAGGATCCACTTAATGATTTCCAGAAAGGTAATTCTGAGAAAAATAAAAGGTTGTATTGGGCAGATAGACCCTGATAGCTCTTCTGAATTGTCACTTATGGTTGATGCTTCTGATTTTACTATTGGTGCAGTACTTCAACAGAGAAAGAATGATGAATGGAAACCCTTGGGTTTTTCTCTAAAAAATTATCTCCACCACAACAAAAATATAGTGCATATGACAGGGAACTACTGGCCATATATGAAGCTGTCAAATATTTTCAATACTTATTAGAAGGGAGAGAATTTATTATTTTCACGGATCATAAACCCATTACTTTTGCCTTTACAAAAAAAAATCAACTAAATTCACTCCTCGTCAAACAAGATACCTTGATTTTATTAGTTAATTTTCTACTAACATTCAGCATGTTTTGGGACAAATTCAATGCAGTAAATCAAATAAATTATTAAGAATGGGCTGATTATCAAGCAAAGAAAGATGAATTACAGAATCTTATCAATGGAAATAATTCTTTAAAATTAGTAAAGCATAAGGCAACTAATATAGACTGTGAGATATATTGTGACAATTCACAAACCAACCTGCGTCCCTATGTTCCAATTTTGGAAAATAATTTTCGATACCATTCATGGTTTGTCACATCCCGGAAAGAAAACAACTACTAAATTATACATTTGGAAAGGAATGAAGAAGAATATTTGTGAATGGACAAAATGTTGCATTCCATGCCAAAAGTCAAAAATAACTAGACATGTGGTGAGTGCATCCGGAAATTATTTAAACCCCAATAGACGTTTTGACCATGTTAACATAGATATCGTTGGTCCTTTACCTCCATCTAATGGTTTTGGATATATTTTAACTTGTATAGACAGGTTTACAAGGTGGCCAGAAGCATTTCCACTCGAAGATATTACAGCAAAAGAAGTTGCAAAAATTTTCTTTAATGGATGGGTAAGCCGATTTGGAATACCACTAAAAATCATAACTGATCAAGGACGTCAATTGAATCGTTACTATTTCAAGAATTTTCAGAATTCCTTGGAATTCAACACATTCACACTACTGCCTATCATCCATGTGCCAACGGAATGGTTGAAAGATTCCATCGTACCCTAAAATCTGCTTTGAAATGTCATGGTCATGATAAATGGACCGAAAAACTTCCTATGGTTCTTTTAGGAATAAGAACGACTCTTAAAGAAGACGGGTTCATCATCTGCTGAACTAGTATATGGAGCTACTTTAAGAATTCCTGGTGAAGTGCTGTTAAGACAATTTAAATCCAATTAAAAATAAACAAGAATATTTATATAATTTCCGCGAAACAATCGACAAGCTGAAACGTGTGCAAGGATCAAATCACAACAAACATAACATTTTTATTTTTAAGGAACTTTCAAAGTGCTCTCGTGTTTCTGTTCGGGATGATGCTGTTAAAAAATCTTTGCAGTATTCATATTTAGGACCCCATAGAAATGACAAGCTTTTTAAAATATTATATAATAATAAAGAAAAGATCATATTTATACATAGGGTTAAACCAGCATTTATGAAAAATGAAGATCTGAATAATGTTAAACAAAATAAAAAAGTTACATTTCGTTAGCACTAGAGGGGGAGTACTGTGGTGAACTGTTAGACACCCCGTATAAGCTCCTGCTTAGACTGGTTATCATGGTTGAATGCAGGCGTTTTAAAATTCTAACATTAGTTTTAGTTTTTGAGTTTTCATAAAAATATAATTTATATAAATAAATGATTCCAAAGGCTAAAACATCTTAATGATTGATAAAATGTTATTATAGCGTTGTCTTTTTTGTTTCAGCACCACTGTCGAAATTGTGGCGAAATATTTTGTCACGCTTGCTCTGACAATACAATGCCACTTCCTTCGTCTGCAAAGCCTGTACGCGTATGTGATGATTGCCATCTTCTTTTATTGGGCAGAACGACTACTGTGATGAATTAGTTTTAAGTATAAAATCTATATTTACTAAAAAATACAAATATATATTTATATATACATTTTATTATTTAAATTAAAAATATTTCTGATATTACATGTTTGTTTTTGTAAAAAAAGGCATATTCTATGTACACATATACATTTGTGTTTATTTATAACCTAATTTGTTTTTGCTGTAGAGCAAATATTTATTTACATTATGTATTTCGTGCTAATGGTGCAATAAGAGTCTAGAACCAACTCATTTTTAACAGACTTCAAAAAAGGAGGAGGTTCTCAATTCGTCGCGATATTTTTAGTATTTCATAAATCTGATTAATAAAATCATTTTGTTCCACATTTGAAAACTAATCGCTGGTTGACAAGAATTCTAGATGATAAAAAAAGAAAGAAAAATGAATTTAATATTTCACATTTTGGATGATTATATTTGGTTACACAAATAAAAACATTAAAAATGAAAGTTTCAACTCTTGAAACACTGTAATACAAAATTAAAAATAAAACCATCCATATGTATGCCAAGATAACTCAAAATTAAAGGATTTTTTTCAAAAAACAAGCACCTCAACTTTTATTGACAAGGGGTCTAATTGTCATAAAATGTATACCCATAAATCCAATCCCTCAAGGCCCGGCAGCAATTCCATATTTTTTAAATAGAAAGTATCGTTAAGAAACATCATTTGAAAGATAATTTTATTAGTCATTTAATGCACAATATAATTAAGGTAAAAGCACCAATATTTGACAGCACCCCAATAATTGACACTCCAAAATTAAAGTGTTTATAAGAAGAATAATACGTTAAAATACACCCAGCGCCATCTAGTTTAGACTGTACGAAGGTATGCTTAATCCAATCGACAAAACTGTCATGGCCGAAATATTTTTTCACATGTAATAACGCCGTTTTGTATTTTAGTAAAATTCTTATAAGTTTTGTTAAGAAGGTGGTTAAACAAAAACGTGAGTAGGTAAGTTAATTTTATAAATATTTAATTTTTAGACAATCAGGTTTATTTGTTACTAGTGTTATAATCAAGTACATTAGATTGTTTTGCTATCTGAAATATTGTAGGTTATGAAACGGAGATGTCAACCAATGGGTTTTGAAAATAGCAGAGGTTCCAATAATTGACATTAGTGTCAATTATTGGGTTTCAAATGATTTTTTCAGTTTTCTAGTGAGATTTAATAAGGATAAAATTACAAAAATGTCGCTATAAAAACTGCTTAACTCTGATAATCAGATCCAATGGTTGACACTATTGTCAATTATTGGAGTATATGCTGTCAATTATTGGTTCTTTCAGGAAATGGCGAGTAAAAAGCCATTCTTTAAATATTCAAAAGAACAAATGGAAGACGCAATAGCAGACGTAAAAAGAGGATTAGCTGTGGCAACCTCTGCAAGAAAGCATAAAGTACCAAGAGTGACCTTAATGTACAAAATTCAAGGCAAAACACCAACTGAGAGAAAAATGGGTAGAGATTCCTATCTAACTAAAGAGGAGGAGGGCGTTTTGGTTACCTGGATCCTTAGCATGGCTAAAGTGGGATTTCCGGTTGGTAAAGAACAGTTACTAAACAGTGTTCAACACTTAATGCTAGAATTAAAAAGAGATAATCCATTTGCCAACAACAGACCAGGAAAAAAGTGGTATGCAAGTTTCTTAAAACGAAATCCAATGATTAGCGAGCGTACTTCTCAAAATTTAACTATAACTAGAGCGTCAGTTACCACAGGACAGTTAACCGATTGGTTTAATGAAATTTTTAATTACCTCCAAGAAAATAAATACGATGATATATTAAATGACCCAAAACGCATATTTAATGCGGACGAGACTGCTTTCTTTCTCAATCCAAAAGGAGATAAGGTTATGGCCGAACGTGGAGCAAAGAATGTCTACAAAATTGTTAACAGTGATGAGAAAGAATGTCTCACCGCGTTAATTACAGGAAATGCTGCAGGAGATCTAGCTCCGCCAATGATAATTTTCAGATATGAACGAATTCCTAAAGAATTAGCAAACAGTGTACCTGAAACATGGGGAATTGGAAAATCCGAAAGCGGTTGGATGACGGGCGAAACGTTCTATGAATTCATATCAAATATATTTTATCCCTGGCTACTTGAAACAAATAGTGCATTTCCGGTTATTTTATTCATAGACGGCCACGCCTCACATTTAACTTTACATGTTAGTCAATTTTGTGACGAACATAAAATCATTCTTGTAGCCTTGCTACCCAATTCCACCCACAAGATTCAACCAATGGATGTTTCAGTTTTTCGGACACTAAAAGCTGGGTGGAAAGAAATTGTGCAGGAATGGAGATTGCAGAACTATAACAACCCCATACTAAAAAAAATTCACTTCTCCCCGTTACTGAGACAAACACTCGAAAAACGGATAAGTCCACAAATTTTACAAAATGGTTTCCGGAAATGTGGAATTTATCCCTGGGATCCAAAGGCCGTTGACATAGCAACAAAAAAAGAAAATGCAAGAGTTCTTAATGTAAATAATGCAAAATTAACAGAATTGCAGAAAGGCTTACACTTTGTTGAGAAATTTATAAGCCAGGACAAAGTTGAAACCTTCAAAAAATGTTCTGTTTGGTCTGGAGATATTGCAGATCAGTCGCTTTTTGAATTTTACACTAGCATTTTGAAAGAAATAAATAGTGTAGAGAAGGAAGTGAATCAAATTCAAAAGACAGAAAAGTTGCAAAATCAAGAATCTCTACAAAACATAAAATCGATTGAAGATAAAGAGAACACAGATAGTCAAAATCAGCTTTCAACAGCAGGACCATCGCAAATCCCAAATTTATACAATACTGTTTCAGTGGAAGAAAATGAAAACACACAAAAACAACACGTAACTCCACCGTCAAAAGAAACTAGACCTTCTGAAAACATTGACTTACCTTTTAATGTTCCTACCCCTTTTAAAAAAGCGTGTTTCTGGCCAGGTCCTAAACCTTCCAAAAGCAAGAAATATAAAAAAGAAAAGGTTCCATCTGTAACAACATCAAAGAGTTGGCAAATGTATTATCAGAAGAAAGAATTAAAAAAGAAGGAACTTGAAGAAGCAAAAAAGAAAAGACTAGAAGATCGCAAAAGGAAGAAAGAGCTAAACCAAGTACAAAAAGACCTAAATAAAGACAAAAAAGAAAATTCTACAAACATTAAAAAAACTTTAGAAAAACGTAAACGACAACATATCTCTAGCTCCTCTTCAGAGGAAGATTGGGTACCTTCAGGAAACAGTAGTGACGACATTGAAGAAACTTATTTCATACCTGAAAACGAGCCTGAAAATGATGGACTATTGAACATAGATACTGACGAGAGAGTTGAATATAAAGAAGGCGACTACATTTTAGTAGGTTTCCCTGGAAAAAATAGAATTTTACATTTTGTCTGTGTAATTCAAGTAGTTTTAGAAAATGATGAATTAGAAGTCGTCGGATTAAAGAAATGCAATGATAGCAACAAAAATGTTTTTATTTTAAATGATGCAGACGTTAGTACTATTGAAACAACGCAAATTGTACACAAACTCTCTTTTCCAAATATGCAAGTTGCTGGTGATAGGATTAAGTATGAATTTAAAGAGGACTTAAGAGTCGATGGATAAATTTTATCAAAAATTGTATAAAAAAAAAATTAAAATTTATTGTTGATTTAGAAATGTACTTAAATGTTTTGCATCATAATTCTTTCTTATTTCTCTTTTAATCCTCTTTCAAACTTCTATGTCAAACATTGGTGAACACTATGTCAAATATTGGTACCAATGACATTCTTTGACAGTAATACTGTTTTCCTTTTTTAAATCTATTATGAACTAATTTTATAAAAACAGTTAATCATTGAAATGTGTATACTATTAGTGGTAAATATATGATTTTGATTAATTAATTTTTATTTATCCTTCTTCAATAAAATGTCAATTATTGGGGACATATTATGTCAATTTTTGGATAATGCTATGTCAACCATTGGTATTAGGCACTGATAGAAAAAATGTTTTTTTTTAATTGTTAAAACAAAAACTAAAATAGAAGAAAACGGTGTATATAACTGTCTAAACATCCTAGAAGTGGTAAAACAAATTATGAAGTTTGTAGATTCAACGGTTTCTTTGTAACACTGGGATCTTTGAATTTTGTTTCTTCACGTGTCAATTATTGGTGCTTTTACCTTAAACATATTTTTAACGGAACATGAAAAAAATCATGCAGATTTCTAATGTTAAGAAATACAAACTTTAATCTGAAACAACTATATAAAATAACAAAGTTATGATACGCATTAAATCAGTAATACAATTAGCTTTCAAATGAAGTGTCAAAGTTTACAATACTTAAGTTTTTTTAACCATAAAAGGCGCTTAAATCAAAAGCAACGCAAATAATAGTTATACTGTTGAATTCTCCATAAAAAAACGTTTCAAATGATGTTACTTACAATTTAAAAAAAAAATAGGGGGTTTGATGCTGGGCTCCAAGGATTTGGATTTCTGGATATAAATTTTTATGACAATTCATCCCCTTGCCAATAAATTTTATATTTTAAAAACGCCTTTGTTTCGGAGTTTCTGAGTGAATCAAGTTAACGTTGGTACCTGTATACAGTATGTCGCTAATGTATGGAATAAATTCATTATTTCTAAAATAATCGACTTTTGAAAAAAATCCAAAAACAGGTCAATTTTAATTTTTGAATCGTCATCACATGATGTAGATGTAACGAACATTACGTCACCAGTATTACCGTGGTGACGTAATCGGCAATTTTTTTAAATGCAACCATGTGTCTCAAAACACCTCATTGGAAAGGTCTTCTAATCGTCTTTACAACGATGTAATTATTTGAATATTTATTTCTACAGGGTCGACCAAAACTGTTTATTTACTAAAATACATAAAACTGTTTAGTAAAAAACAATTAAATTATATTAAATGTTCAAACTGATGAC